GGGGTAACGTTTAGTATATTTTATCTGAAGACACTGCCTCTGTTTACATATCTTGACTACTGTGATATAACTGTGTCCTCATCCTGGTATGCTTACTCTGTATTGTGACTTTTGGGTCATACAGTAATTCCACTTTGGCTTTTTTTTTTTCAAGAGCTTTCACGTTATTTAAAAATTCATATAGTCAATTTGTCATCTTGCCAATAGTTCCCAAGGACTGCCCCTCCCCGTGTTTATGTTCCCTAGAACCCCACTTCCTTTTTTTTTCTATTGATGGACATCTCTTCAGGTAGCCCATGCTGGCCTGCAAGTGTCCTTGTTTGTGCTGATGCCTCCTGAGAGTTGAATTAGCTTTTTGGTAAGAGCTCCCAGTCCTTCATTTAATTGCAATTGCAAATAAATGAGAGACCATGCTTTTATGTAGCTTCTGGAAGCGTCTACTAGAAACACTTGCTAGGACTGTACAGGGACCTGTGATTTTTTTCGCTTTTCTACCTTATGACATGTGCTTATACATGTATGTATAGTTCCTGCCCGAGGTCTAGGGAGACTTTTCATCTTCTTTGTTCCCAAAATCTTGGCAGTTCATATATGGTCCCTTTAGTGAAAGATGGGATATTTGGGCTACTCAGTCCCCCCACCCACCTCCCACTAGGTCTGACATCAGGGCAGTAGGCACGCATTGTATACATGTCACCCATGATACGAGTTTCTAATCTCTCTTCTTATGTACCCTGCCTTTTCTTGTAGACTTGTAGACTAGGCCTCTATTGTGTTCTGACTGCTTCTGTGAACCTGTAATATGCTTTTAGACAGGTTGACAATGGGTGAGAGCTACATTTATCTGGGAGTACAGGGATGAATATTTGGAATGCAGTTAGAAGCTATGCTGGCCCAGGAAAGTGACAGTTGTAGGTTCTCCTCCTAGGTCCATGATGTCCCTGGCTCTGGGTAGTTGGTTAGGTTCCCAGTAGCAGGCATGATTTCCCTCTTGGTTAGAAGCATCAAGTTCAGTTAGAGTTGTTGGTTACCTCCGAGCTATTTGTGCGTTGCTTATCATGTCGTGCTGCTCACAGTGTCGTCCTTAGGCATCCTAGCTTGTAACACTGTTGTCTGCTTCTCTCCTTTGGAAACTTGCATGGCACCGTCTGGGACCTTGAAAGCAAGTCCTCACAAGAGGGGACTTTCAGATCAGACCCTCTGGGTCCTGTGTCTGAAGTACACAGTGTGTTCTGTAGAAGGCAGTGGTAGTAGCTTATGTTTTGAGAGTCTCCAGAACTCCTTGTAAATTCCCTTTTAAGATATATATTTATTCTGTTGGTTCTGCTTTTTCTAGGGAACCCTAACTAATACAATGTGTTAAGGTCCTTTAAGCTGACAATCTGTGTTTCAGGTATTCTGGGTGATTTTCCAAGAAGAAAGTCTCATGGCCATTTCAGAATCAGGGAAGCCACTAAACCAGTGGTTACTAACCTGTGGGCCGTGACCCCTCTGGCAAACTTCTAGCTCCAAAAATATTTATATTATGATTTAGAACTAGCAAAATTATAGTTATGAAGTAGCAACAAAAATAATGTTATGGTTGGGGTTCACCACCGTAAGGAGCTATATTGAAGGGTCACAGCATTAGGAAGGCTGAGAACCACCTTGACTAATGTAATTTGCATTGGTTAGCAAAATGATGGGTGAAGTGGAGATGGTGGAGTCTTGTCTAGTCCCTTGGTACCCAGAGTCTGCAGGTACTCCAGTAGTGTGTGTGTGATGACAGCATCCACCAACAAGCTCCAGACATCCTCTGGGATACTTGATATTTCTCAGAGCACTTGCTGTAATAGAAATACTACATAGCTATTAGTTTTTCTGCACTGGTACAGAGTAATGAAGAGAGAAGTGTGTGCTTAGCTCAGTTATCTTCCCACGGTCCTTCCTATCATCTTGTGCTGGGTAAATCTGCAGATGTGAAACACAGAAAGGGTCACCTAGAATTTGAATGTGAAGACACTACAGTGGTTGTGATTGCCCGTTGCTTCTTACACAGTCTTTGGTGAAGTTAGGACTTTTTTCTCGGTAGTAGTGGGGTTTGACTTCATGCGTATGAGGCAGATGCTCTTTCACTGAGCTACATCCCAGACCCAAAGTTATTCTATGATGTGGAAATAATACTGACATGCAGACGTAACTCATGCTTTAGTCATTTTTGATGTGGTGAGGTAGGGTTATTATCCTGCCCTGCCTAGTTGAGAATGTGCTGAGTAGCATAGGCTAGCCCCAATGTCATGCTCCTTGTATTTGACCCTCTTGAGTACTAGGACCATAGGCATGTGCCATAGGCTGTGCTTCTCATTTTCTGATAGAGTTTGAGCATCTTTCCATCATCCTTAAAATCACAGAATGTGTTGGTGGGGGTGCAGGGGCAGGGGGAGTGTTGGGAATGACTTGTGATATTTTTCCATTCTGGTAACCCTGCCTCTGTTTTACCTTATGGATGCAATTGTCAGTTGTTATGAGTATAGTTGCCTATTTTTAATGGGATAGCTCATTTCCCATTGCCTTGTGACTCTTACTTGTGTTTAAGTTTTGAAATGGGTGGACTCAGAAGTCTGCATTTCTTCCTTTGATTTTTATTAACTTTTTTGTGCATATGCACTGTGTATGCATAGTCACATGTGACTGTAGGTATAGATGTGTGTACAGACACACACACACTCACACACGATGACGTTTGCAGAGGCCAAGTACAGGTGTCTGGTGTCTGTCTCAATCTGACTTATTAAGACAGGCTCTCCCTTGAACCCAGAATGTGAATGAGCTGATTTGTCGAATCCAGCTAGCTACCTTGCCCCAGTGATCCCCGGTCTCTCCCCTGAGAGTTGGGATTCCAAGGAAGCCACCAGGCTCAGGTGACATTTTCATGAATGCTTCGTAGCAAATGTTTGCCCACGGAGCCATCTCTCTTCCTTAAGTTCCCTGTTTTAACTTGTATGAATTCTCGGGATGTGGTTTCAGTTCTAAGGCCACCGCCAGCTCGGAACTGTGACTCCTATGGATTGTCACGCAGTTCGTTAGCTTCTGTGTGTGTGGTGAGAACAGGAATTTACATTTTAAGTTATTCCGTTCATGAGCTCACTCAACAGTACTTACTGAAAAGTCTGTGGCTCTGTAACAAAGGTTTATGGCGACATCTACGTAGAAATGACCTCTAATTAGCTCCCTCTTTGTGCTTTCCCAGGATAGAGGTATTCTCATCAGATATAATGAGTCAGCTGCATTGGGCTTTGGTGTCCAGTAGCCTCAACTGCAGCTGAGTTTAGGCATCAAAGGTGTGCATTAGAGAGCCGAGGCTGCAGCTGCTCGTTGAGGGTAGAAGGAGGAAGAGCTGGTTTTTAAAACTGTGAGGACATGATACACAGGATTTCTACAGGCATCTCTTGGGCCTTCCCTAGTTTCTCTGGGGTGGTTGTGGGGTATGCGTAAAAGGAATTATAAACCGACCAACCCCAACAGGTACTCAGACATCTCTGGAGAGAGAAAACTGAAAGTGAGTGGGCAGTGTTTGCCAGACACGTCTGTTCTCTCCCATCCATAGCTCTGGACAGAGGCAGCCCCAGGGTGGATGCATTTATCCCCTTTACTACAACCAGGAACTCTCATCATTTCTCTAGACCTTTCTTGATTCAGAGACCTCAGAACGGAAAGAGAACTTTTAGTCAAATCCTTAAAGTTAGCTAGTGCCCGTCCAGTGAACTTCTTTTCTAGTGTTGTGTTGAGTAGTCTGTGTCTTTTACCTTTCTATATAATTGGGAAAGTTTGATTTTTTTAACTATATCTAATTTGTGTCTGCTTGTGTGTGTACACACGTGTGTGTTTGTGTGTATGTACGAATGGGGCTGTATGACGTCATGCTTGTGGAGGTCAGAGGATAACTTGTGGGAGCTGGTTCTCTCCTTCAACAGGGTGGGTCCTCAGGATGGAACTCAAGCTTGGTCAGAAGTACCTTTACCCTCTGCAGGGAGCGGTAAGCACTGAGCTATTTCTCCAGCTCCACAGTGCTGCTCTCCAGTCAGAACACATCCTGGTTAGGTGGTTTTGGTTTTGTCAACTTGGCATGAGCTGTCATCTGAGGAGGGAAGTGCAGTTGAGAAAATGTCCCCATCAGAGTGGCCTGTGGGCAAGCACACAGGGCCTTCTCTTGATTGATGATTGATGCAAAAGGACCCGATCCACTGTGGGAGGTGCTGCCCGGGCACCCCTGCCCCCACCCCGAGACTTTCATGTCACGACTATTACACCATCCCTCCTCTGTTGAGGCCTCACCCCCTTCATCAGCCCCTGTCTCCCTGACCTCCAGAAACACCCCAAGTGAAGTGTACAGCTCTAACAGTTTAAAGCTAAGATAGCATACTGGTAAATTTCATTGTCCTTCATAAGTGAATAAAATCCTGGTGTGTGTGTGTGTGTGTATCACATCTTCACTGTCCATTTGTCAGCTAATGGACAGCTAGGTTGGTCCATTTCCCAGCTGTTAGGATGAGATCAGCTATGGTCATGGATGAGCAAGTATCTCTGTGGTAGATGGAGCCCTCTGGGTTTATGCCGGGACCTGTGGTGGTCTGTCTTCAGCTTTCAGGAACCTCCCCCTGGTTCTCACAGTGGCTGTTCCAGTTTTCACTTGGCATCAGCAGCGATGAGTTGTCTCCTTTCCCACATCCTCGGCATCCTTTGTTGCCATGTTTTCTTGATGCTTCTCATTCCGATTGTGCTGAGATGAACCTGAAAGGACTTTACATTTGCATATCCCCGATGGCTGAGGATGCTGAGCCATTTTAAAGTACTTCTTGGCTGTTCTTCCTTGGAGGATCCTCTGTTCGGTTCCTTATCCTGTCCTCTTTTGATTAGGTCATTTGTTTTCTTTTTGTTTAGTTCTCTGTGCTATCCACTTATATTTCAGGAGCTGTTGTCATTCAAGGATGTGTCTGTTGATTTCTCTCCAGAAGAGCGGGAATGCCTAGACCCTGCTTGATGGAATTTGTATAGAAATGTGATGTTGGAGAATTACAGAAACCTTGTCTCCCTGGGTGAGGATCTCTGTCTACAGAATTCTTAATTGCCTCTTAACAGCTGCTTTCCTTTCTCTGTAGACAGTTTATTAGGGGCTTCCATTTTGTATGAAGGTAGTTCATATTCCCACACATAAGAGAAATTTAGGGGTTTGATGGCCAGTAGATCATTTTAATTGTATTTATCTTAAAATCTCCTTTCTTGAGGAGTATCTTCACTCTAGGTCAGCAGTTCTTAACCTGTGGGTCATGACCCCCCGACAGGGCTTGCAGATACTTGTATTACGATTCCTGATAGTACTAAAATTACAGTTAGGAAGTAGCAACAAAATCATGCTATGGTTGGGGGTCATCACAACATCAGGAACTGTATCAAAGGGTCGCATCATTAGGAAGGTTGAGCATCATTAGGAAGGTTGAGCATCACTGCTCTAAATCAGGGGTAACTTCAGAAACGTACTGGCTGAAGCTTTGTGCCTGTATCTTACAGTCCATCTCCTCCTCTGCAGGCGAAGCTTAGCATCTCCAGGTTGAAAGTCCCTCACACGCACTCTAATGTATATGTCAGGGAATAATCGCGGAAATAATTTCCTCAAACCTCCTTTAATAGTTCCTTTTCCCAGCACAGTATGGTCAGAGAAATGTTACTACTTACTAGGAGACTCTTAACTGAACACTGTTCTCTGTTTGTAATAAACAGGTCTTGCTGTGTGTAAGCCCTCCCTGGTGACACTGCTGGAGCAGAGACAAGAGCCTTGGGATGTGAAGGGACAGGAGTCAGGAGCCATGTACCCAGGTAGGTAGGAATGGATCAGAAGACACAGGAAGATGCCTGGCCTTCAGATGTGGATTCCAAAGCTCTGTTTCAGTGGAGAGGACTTTTCCAGGAGCCCCTGGAGCTGGAGTTACAGGCAGTTGTGAGCTGCCATGTGGATGCTGGGAACTGAACCCAGGTCCTATGGAGGAGCTACACATTCTTGAAACTGAGCTGTCTCTTTGGCTCTAGCTACATAACCTTTAAGTTTACAAATAATGAATTAAAACGAGAGTAATGTAAAGTCTGTCATCTGTTCCTGTCTCGTGGACCAGGGCCATCCAGGTAATACGCCGGTGAACTGCATAGAGTTCGTCAGAGTCCTTCAAATAGATTTTGGTTTTCTGTTTTCTATAGGGTCTTTTTTTTTTTTTTAAACTTTATCTGTTTAGGACTCCTGGGCTTAGGCTGGAGGGAAGTCTATGTGGTTGAGAATGACCCAAATTTGCTTCTCCTGACCATACTGAAGTTACCTGTCAGCCCTCAGACCTCTCACACATGCATTGGACCCCTTTTTTCCTCTCCCAAGAGAGCAGACTGATGCCGGAAGTTGTTTATGTTTTGGTGTGACCATGGAATGCTGTTTTTGGAAAAGAGGAGCTGTGGTTGATGACCAAAATAAAAAAGACTGCCCTTGGGTAGCCTTAGTTATTCTCCTCAATGGGGCTCGTACCTCCATGCATTAAGTACTCTGGGGATTTGTCGCAAAGGCAGTTGACTGTTATCTTTTGTTAGTTTCATGTTCCTCTGGGGCAGTGGAGAGGCTTCTCTGTTTCCTCTTCTGCCATCCGGAGGGCATGTCCTCTTGGCATGGTTTTGATGTTAGAGTTAGAAGTAAGTCACCTTAGTGTAGCAACTGAGGTGATGGTTATTTTGATTTCCTGCCGGTGTTTCTTCTCATTATCCCTAGACTTCTCACTAGAGCAGGACAAAACAACAACAACAACAACAACTAAACAGACAAAAAACCTAAAACCAAAACAAAAGCAAAAACAACAACAACAACAACAAAAACCCCAAAAATCATTTATTCCAAAATATGATAGGGAGAATATTTGGGAGTTATGACCCTGACAATTTGCATTAAAGAAAGACAAGACTGTAGCAAACCTTCAAAAGTCAGCTAACTCTTACTGGACTCAAAATTGTTCCCATGAGGGCAAAGCCTACGAATGCCAAGAGCACAATGAAGCCTTCAATAATAACTCAACTCTTAGTTGACACCAGGGAGTTCATACAGGAGAGACGCCCTGCAAATGTACATTTTACAGTGTGGGACAACCCTGCACAACAAAAAGCCCATTACCAACCGAGATCCAGAGCATACAGCATGTCAGAAAATCAGTTAAGAGACTGTATGTTTGACTAACTAGCCACATCCCATCTGGTAACGTAAGTTTCCTCTTACACGAGGTTTGGGTTATTCTTAAAATGCACCTGCTCCATGCTTCAGTTAGGAACTAGAACGAGTGAAATATAGCCGGACTGAACTTTGAAGCGGGCCTTCCTTTAGAAGGAGACTGGGGATGAAGAACACATCTTGAGCACTGCTGTCCTTTTGAGGGCCTCGTTGCTTTGTTGTCTGCACTACAGCATACAGCTGAACACATGCAGGAAGCGGTGTTGTTGTTTTGGGGTTTGTGGTGCTTTGAATATGGTTGGCCGAGGGAGGGGTACTATTAGGAGGTGTGGCCTTGTTAGAATAGGCGTGGCCTTGTTGGAGGAACTGTGTACAGATGGGCTTTTAGACTCTCCTCCTAGCTGCTTGCAAGGCAATCTAATGTTTGCCTTTGGAACAAGACATAGAACTCTCAGCTCCTCCTGCACCATGCCTGCCTGGATGCTACCATATTCCGGCCTTGATGATAATGGACTGAACCTCTGAACCTGTAAGGCAGCCCCAATTAAATGTTGTCCTTATGAGAGTCGCCTTGGTCATGGTGTCTGTTCACAGCAGTAAAACACTATAAGCCAGGGTTGTTGGGTTGTTTGTTTGTTTGGTCGTTGTTTATTTGTTTTGGGACAAGGTCTCACCATGTAGCCCAGGCTATCCTGGTACTTGGTATGGAATTCTGCAAACTTTGAACTTGCCTTGATCTTTCTGCTTCACCCTCCTCAGTGCTGAGCTTACAGCTCACACCCTCAGTTCACCCCCAATCAATCCTCCTCTGCTTCCACATCCCCATGCGGGTGCTTGGTGAATCCAGTCCATGTGTAACGATGTAGGACATTAATGAGGCTGGGAGAGAAACTGCTGTTCGTCTAGTGAAATTCATAGCTTTAGCCATGAAATTGTCCGTCCTCTTTTCTCCCCAGAGACTCTTTCTGACTGCAACAACTCTGTGAAAGACTTTGATCAACACGCAGAACTTACCATCCGTCAGTGCACACACAGCGAAGAGAAGCCATACAAGCAGGAAGAACGTGAGTCAGCTTCCAAGCAGCACGTCAGGGCGCACAAAGGAGACATGCCCCATAAATGCAAAGACTGTGGGAAAGTCTTTAAATACCGCTCCATCCTCAACCAACACCACGTCATTCACACAGCCGCAAGACCCTACACATGTAAAGAGTGCGGCAAAACCTTTAAGAGAAGCAGAAACCTCTCCCAGCACCTGGCGATTCACAAGAGAGGGAAACCACACCAGTGTGAGGAGTGCGGCAGAGCCTTCACTAAGCTTTCTGTCCTGACTCAACACCGTGTCACCCACACCGGAGAGAAGCCCTTCCAGTGTAAAGAATGCGGCAGAGCCTTCAAATATAATTCGAGCCTCACTCAGCACGAAGTCATTCATACCCAAGCCAAACCCTACAAGTGTCAGGAATGTGGCAAAGCCTTCAAGAGAAGCCACACGCTCAGTCAACACCAGGTGACTCATAATGGAGAGAAGCCGTACAAGTGTAAGGAGTGTGGCAGGGCCTTCACTAAGCAGTCGTCTCTCACACAGCACCAGGTCATCCACACTGGAGAGAAGCCCTATCAATGCAGAGAGTGTGGGAAAGCCTTCAGGTATCAGTCAACCCTTACCCGACACCAGGTTGTTCACACGGGTGCAAAACCCTACAAATGTTCCGAGTGTGGCAAGGCCTTCAATAACAGTTCCACCCTCAGTCGGCACCAGATCATCCACACGGGAGAGAAGCCCTACAAGTGTCAGGAGTGCGGCCGGGCCTTTTACTGCTCCTCCTTCCTCATCCAGCATATGAAGATCCATTTCGAAGAGATGCCCTACCGGTGCAAAGACTGTGGGAAGCCGTTCAGGCTCTCCTCCCAGCTTATCCGACACCAGAGGATCCACACTGGGGAGGAGCCCTACATATGTAAAGAGTGTGGCAAAACCTTCAAGTATCAGTCTAACCTCACCCGTCACCAAATCCTTCACACCGGCACGAAACCCTACAAATGCCCCGAGTGTGACAAGGCTTTCAATAACAGTTCCACCCTCACTAGACACCAGGTCATCCACACGGGAGAGAAGCCCTACAAGTGTCAGGAGTGTGGCAGGGCCTTTTACTGCTCCTCGTACTTAATCCAGCATATGAAGGTCCATTTCGAAGAGGTGCCCTACCGGTGCAAAGACTGTGGGAAGCCATTCAAGTGTTCTTCCCAGCTTATCCGACACCAGAGGATCCACAGCGGAGAGAAACCCTACGTATGTAAGGAGTGCGGCAAGGCCTTCAACTGCACTTCCTACCTGACTAAGCATCGGAGGATCCATTCCGCAGAGAAACCCTACGTATGCAAGGACTGTGGCAAGGCCTTCAACTGTCCTTCCTACCTTTCTAAACACCGGAGAATTCATGTTGGAGACAGACTCTATAAATGCAAAGACTGTGGCAAAGCCTACTACTTTTCCTCACAGCTTAACCGACATCAGAGGATCCATACTGGGGAGAAACCCTACATATGTAAGGAATGTGGCAAGGCCTTCAACTGTTCTTCCTACCTTAATAAGCATCAGCGGGTCCATATTGTAGAAAAACCCTTTGTGTGTAAAGAGTGTGGCAAAGCTTTTAACTGCTCCTCATACCTTACTAAACACCAGATGACCCATACCGGAGACAAGTTATACAAATGCAAAGACTGTGGTAAAGCCTACTACTTTTCCTCCCAGCTTAACCGACATCAGCGAATCCATACCACAGACACACCCTATAGATGTAAAGAATGTGGCAAGGCCTTCATTTCTTCTTCCAGCCTTAAGCGACACCAGGAAACACACTCTACTGAGACCAAGCAGTGAATAGAATTTGTGTATATGTATATAAGCAAAGCCTTAGTCGGAAGATAGTTGTTACTGGGTGTTTCATAAAAGAGAAAAAACCCTATTTGTGCACTTAATGTCTTTAACAACTGCTGAATCTTCCGTTTGCACCAAAAGGCCCATGTATGAGGGGAAACCATGCAGGTGTGAGGAATGTGGCACTGTTTCAGATTGTGTTCTACACAACCCATAGTTGAGAACCATTACAGATGGGATAATATGGCCTGGCCTTTGACCAAAGCTCTTCTTCAAAGTAGCAAATTCATAGTGGAAAGAGTATTGTCCTATGTCTAACTCTCAGAACAATCCAACACTATGCCATAAATCTCCTCATAAAATGAAAAAAGTAACATAACTTTCACTAGTACCTCAACAAATTGTTTTGTTTTGTTTTTGGTTGTTTGTTTGTTTCTGAGACAGGATCTCTGTAATAGCCCTAGAACTCACTCTGTAGACCAGGCTGGCCTCAGACTCACAGAGATCTGCCTGCCTCTGCATCCAGAGCACTGGGACCAAAGGCATACACCCACAGGCCCAGCCTATACCTCAAAACTTGGTGTATACAAAGGATTGTCATAGGACAGAAATCTTACAAATATATAGATGTGGCAAAATTTTGAACTGCTGCTTGTCATTAGTCAATGGGTGGAAAGAATATATCACTGGTGTCAGAGTGATTTGAACTCGTCTTTGAAAGGATGGAATTTGTTATACATCCAAATTTGCTAAGTAACCTCACTTTAAAAACTACAAAGTTCAGTTCTCAGGCTGTCTCAGTAGAAAAATAAGCCTGCTTTCTGAGAAGTTTTAAACTGTTTCTTCCAGAGAGCATAAAATTGACTTTGGAAAACTGTGTATTATGTATAGACTTTATTTTAGCACATACATGAGTGAATGGCTCCTCAGTAGTTATCTCTGGTATGTGTTGTTTGACATGATATTTTGTCACAGAGATTAAATCACCTTACCATGTACATAACAGATCTTTGTAATATTTTGTTGAGGAATACTGAATGTCTGGTAACTCTTGTTCCCAGTGTATTTATCCCTCAAACAGATGTATAGATTTGGATTTTCCCGAGTGTGATATTTTAATCCATCCTTTTTGCACTTAACCCAGAAATTACAAAGGATGTGAAAGTATAATAAAGTGTTCTAGCTCTCTGAATCTTTTTTTTTTTTTTTTGGTTTTTCGAGACAGGGTTTCTCTGTGTAGCCTGGGCTGTCCTGAAACTCACTCTGTAGACCAGGCTGGCCTCGAATTCAGAAATCCGCCTGCCTCTGCCTCCCAAGTGCTGGGATTAAAGGCGTGCGCCACCACCGCCTGGCCTAGCTCTCTGAATCTTAAGTCGTTTATACATTCGGCTTTTGTCACAAGGTTTTTATGCACACATCACTTCTTTGGAGATACACACACACACACACACACACACACACACACACACAGAACAGGGAAATGTTAGTATTCATTTGTGTTGACTGTGATGTACAATCCCATGGCAAACCTTACGAATGGAAGTACAGAAGTTCTCCCTGTTCATGGGTAATGATTAAAAATAAAAGGAAAGTTGAAAAACCAAAAATCGTTTTAAGGGAGCTGATAATTTATGGCAAGGTAGAAACCTTGTGTATAGAGGGGGAGGATAAGTCTATTTTGTCTAAATGGAACTTGTTGAAACAACTCCATGTTCTTTGTTTACAATAGTGACTTCCTGGTTCTACGTCTGTTAATCATGAAGGGCATATGTCTGAGTTCAAGCTTATGACTGTTTATGTGACCATCTGTCGTCGGTCATGGTTAGCCTCTGAGCCAGTTAACCATTAACTTCAGCGGAGCCTGCTTGCAAAGCATCAGCCCAGCTGGGTTTGTTGACTAACCCCCTCATAGGAGGAGGGCGGGTGGGGGGAAGGTCATGGGACCCTCATCTGTGTTTTCAGTACTGCATTCTGCCTGTTATATGGAGTTTTGCCCTAAGTTCATGTGGCCTCGAGGAGGGGATAGGTCATAGGTCAGAGAGAAGATGGGGAAGAGGGACTTCATCTGTGTCGCTGTGGGAAAGCTGTTGCACTCTTTGCATAAAGACTTATTGTGACTGATAGGTCCTGCAGGAAGTGCATGCTGTCAGGAGCCTGATATAGCTGTGTCCTTAGAGGTCTGCCGGAGTTTGACATATTCAGAGGCAGATGCTCACAGCTAACCATTGAACTGATCAAGGGGTTCCCAATGGAGGAGTTAGAGTGAAGACTGAAGGAGCTGAAAGGGTTTTCGGCCCCATGAGGAGAGCAACAGTGCCAACCAACCAGAGCTCCTCAGGGTCTAAACCACCAGTCTGGGAGCACCAGAAGGGACCCATGACTCCAGCTGTATATGTAAGAGAGGATGGCCTTGTCGGGCATAGGTGGGAGAGGAGATCCTTGGTCCCATGAAGCCTGGACACTGTGTGTGGGCGAATTCGAGGGTGGGGAGGTGGCAGTGAGGGGATAGCTGGGGGGGCACATCCTCATAGAAGCAGGAGGAGGGGGGATGGAATAGGGGGCTCCTGGGCAGGGGGTGGGGGGAATGGGGTAAAGGGATAACATCTGAAGTGTAAATGAAATACCCAATTAAAAAAAAGAGAGAGAAAAAAAAACCTAAAAAAATAAAAAGACTTTCTGGTGCAGCCTTTAGGAGGAAAACACCCACACCATAAGTAACCCCTTACGTATGTTCTGTAAGGAAGCCCAGTGTTGTTTCCTCTAGAGTGAACTTGGGTGGATTCATACCTCTGATTGTTGTCGGGACTTTATGAGAAGGGATAGATGTTTCTATCTGAACATTCCCCAGAAGGAATTTTAGCAACACTTGGTGTAGCTGGCAGAATATGACAAGACCAAGGATGCTTTTGGGAAGAGCAATGGTGGTATGCCTGGTCAGGGGAACGAGACAACCAGAGTGAAGTTCTGTGTGTGTGTGTGTGATGCATAGAAAATTGACATGGTAGCTTGCATGTAACTCAGGGGAGACTTCCTGGACTGGTGCCGGGAGTGGGGAAGTTCCGTGATGGCAGTCTTCTTGTAGGTGGTGTGGAGTCGCACATTTGCTTGATGGATGGGGTCCTCCCTGATGGTTTGGAGAAGGTTTAAGAGCAGTTGAAGAATTAGAATGCTATTGGCTGGTTTTATGTCGAGTTGACACTAACTAGAGTCAGTTGGAGAGAGGACACCTCTGTTGAGAAAACACCCTCCCCTAGATTGGCCTTTTGATTGATGTTTGATGTGTGTATTCTTGATTGATGATTGATGTACAAGGAGATTGCACACTGGCAGTGCCACCAGCCCTGGGATGGTGGTCGTTGGTGCTGCTCTAAGGAAGCAGGCTGAGCAAGCTAGAAAGCATCACTCTTCCATGCATGGCCTCTGGATCGATGCCTGTGTTGAGTTCCACCGCTGTGTATCAGTGATGGCTTCCAACCTTTCTGGTAGATTTTAGGAAGTCGTTTTCGGCTTCTGTATCTGCTGCTTTCAGCAAATGATCTACACGCATTATCTGTGTCGGGGCTTAGGAGAGTACCTACCTTAAAAATGACAGCTATGCATTTAGCTTGCACTGTAAACGTTGATCATATAAGAAATCCAATGCAAGCACAGGTGATTGTTACACTTTTCTCTTAGAGGCAGGTTAAGCAAACACTTTGAGTACATGGTAGACTAGCAGTCTTACATGACTTCAAGATGTATTATTGACTCTGGCTGTGAGGTCCAGCAAAAGTTCCAGCCTCTAAGAATGTAAGTTATTTTCAGAATATTGCATCTTCAGTCTCCGAGAACACTACCCGACAGGCGACACTGCCAGTTTCATCTTTCAGCTTGGGCGGACTCCTTACCACGTTGGCTACAATTGAACCTGTTTTCCTATGCTTTCTAGGATCAGAAAACTCCTTAGGCTCATTTCTTTCACAGACTGGAGCTGGGTGATATCCCTGAGGGTCGTCTCCCTGTCTGTCTGATGCAGAGCAAGTCATTTCTGGTGATCGTAATCTCGTAGTTAAATCAATTAATTACTGATTAATTAATCAGTAATGGCCACTGCCTCTTTTTTAGCACTCAGAAGCTCCCCCTGTCCCCTTCCTCTCCAACCTGCACATTTTGTATTCATTTCGGCCCACTTGTTGCTCCTTTTCACGGTAGACTTGATAAGGGTAACCAGTAATGACCACACCACAGACTCACAGGACTTGAAATTTCCTCTGCAAAAGATACTGGGCCATTCCTCTCTAATTTAGACTCAGGCAGATTATCAGGGTATGGGCAGCATCGTCAGATTTTTTTGCCCTGGTATCATAAAAAATGGCCACCAACACAATAGAGTCCTCACTCCCTGCCCTGCAATGCCGTGACCTGAGTCTCCACTATCTGTGTTATAATCAGCACTGTAGTCTTCCAGACAAATTGGTAAGTTCCTCATCCAGCGTTCAACGGTTATCCTAATCCAAAGTTCTGAAGTCCTTCAAACAAAATATTCCTTCAAACCAAACCAACCAACCAACCAAACCAACGAGAAGTTCTTTATAGCAACAAGGTCGTGTAATCTGACACCGGAGCACTGTCATTTCTAGTGATCGTAATCTCTTAGTTAAATCAATTAATTACTGATTAATTAATCAGTAATGGTCACTGCCACAGTGAAACTTTATCCTTCACAATGGAGTATTGTAATCCCTCATCTCAATTCTGTGCCTGTGGTGGTTAGAATAGGTTTGGTCCCCATAGACTCATACATTTGAATGCCTGGCCATACGGAGTAGGACTATTAGAAAGTATGTGGTGGCACTATCAGGAAGTGTGTGGTCTCCTTGGAGGAAATTTGTCACTGTGGGGGTGGGCTTTGAGGTTTCCTATGCTCAGGCTCCACCCAGTGCGGAAGCGAGTCTCTTCCTGGCTGCCTTCAAATCAAGATGTAGAAACTCTCAGCTCCTGCTCCAGCACCGTGTCTGCCTACACGTTGCCATTCTTCCAGCTATGATGATACTGGACTGAACCTCTGAACTGTATGCCAGCCCCAACTAAATGTTTTCCTTTGTAAGAGTTGCTGTGGTCACGGTGTCTCTAACAACAATAAAACCCCAATTAAGGCAGTACACAGACAGTCACGAAGAGAATTGTCATGTGAAAGAGGAGCATAGGGATATGAAAATGTGGCCTTGTGATGTCACACCACTAGTGGAGCATTGGGATGCGAAAACTCAGCGTGTGTCACAGTGGGACACCGCAAGAGTGGAAAATTTGACATCACAATGGAAAACTGTAACGTCGCAATGCAACACTGAGATGTTATGGTTCAACATAGTGATAGTGCAGGGGAACGCTGTAATGTCACAGTGGTTCTTTGCAGTGGCACAACTGGGAATTTTGATGTTGCAGTTGAGCATTTGCCTGACGTTGTGGAGCATTGTGATGTCACCATGCAGCTCTATTATGGAAACTTCAGTGATGTCACAATGGAGTGTTGTGATGTCACAGAGGAGTGTTGTGATGTCAGTGTAGCAACGTTGTGATGTCAAATTTCAACATGTTTTTATGGTGAAATGAAGCACTGTGATGCTTCAGAATGACAATGTCACCACTCAGCATTGGTTTTCTTTTGGGGGGAGGTGTTGGTTTTCAAGACAGGGTTTCTCTGTGTAGCCCTGGCTGTCCTGGAATTCATTCTGTAGACCAGGCTGGCCTTGAACTCAGAGATCCACCTGCCT